AACATTTGCCATTTGTTCGCGATGAAAACATTGAAAATTTTGTACATGTACATTTATTTCATTTTGCGTTTCTTCCTTTGAGCCCGTCTACTGGCATCAACATTCTCAAGAGTTACACCTTTCAATTTCATTTATAAGCAAAACATAATAAAATCATGTATGCTGTTTCTCTTAAACAAACATGTAGCTAAGAAAGAAAATTTAGAAAAACATGCAAATTGTGTATGATGGTGGTGTGACGACCAATTTTGTAACTGTTTGTAATATGACAAAGTTCAAAGTTTGAGCAAAAACTAAATAAAGATTCATTGAGTCATAAAAGTAACCTCTGAACAAAGACAATAGTAACTAAACGAAATGAGTACAACAGAGAATTTCTACAAACATAATTATAATGTTTTGCAAACTAGTATTTTCAAAAAGCTCTTTTTTTTTGTTTCTCTATTTATCACTACGAATATGAATGATAAAAATGATTATGTTCTAAATATATCGAGAATAAAAAGTATTGCAGGTCAAAATCTTGTGTTTTGATGTTATTGTCAATGCCATCGATCGCATGTACTATAGTTACTCGAGGGCATTCAAATTCTGCATAGATTTTACTCATTAGCTTCTCGGTCACTAAATCCAACATTTTCATGTCGATAAGAAAACGGATTTTATAAATTCAGTTGGTTCTCACATTACAATTAGAATTTAACTAAAATATTAGTGATAAAATTTGCCACTAGTAAAGATGATGTGATGGTGGTAAATAGATCAGACTTACGTTATATGACCATATGTACATACGTATCTCCCTGGAATAAATAGTTGTAGTCTGTATTTTAAATGTATCGTCACTATAAAAAAATATCTTGTTAAAAAAATAATTACATCTTATGAAAGCTTTTTATCATCCTGTGTGTTTATGTTTTAGTTTACACTTATGCATTACCAAAATAAATCATTTTTTCATTACTATAGAAATACTCTTATTAGAAAAATAAATATATATATATTCACATAGAGTTTGAAACTTTCTATCATCCTATATATGTTTATTTCGTATTGCATTTGTATGTTGTAGCTAGGGATGTACCGAGCCCGAGCTACTCAGGCTCCGTAAGGCTCAGTCGAGCTCGATGTGACTAAGACTCGGTAAAGCTGAGTCTGACTAAAGCTTGGTTAAGTTCAGTCTGACTGAGGTAAGGATGCAACAGTGACAGTAATCGGTCCTTACCGGCTATTTTTTACGAAAAAAATGATTTTTCATAAATTTTGACCAAAGGTAATTGGAGTTGAGGAATCCGAATCTGTTATTAGTTTTGCAAATTTTGTGTTAGATTTTTTTCATCAAGCTTTATAAAAAATCATTTTTTTCGTAAAAAATAGCCGGTAAGGACCGATTACTGTCACTGTTGCATCCTTACCTCAGTCAGACTGGACTCGACCGAGCTTTATCGAGTCTTAGTCAGATCGAGCCCGAGCTTGTCCGAGTCCGAGCTGCTTGGACTTGGTAGATGCCTAACCATGACGTTTGAGAGAGATATTCATCAAAGAGGGGTCACAAATAGCTTATTTGACAACCAAAAATTGTCTGTGGGTCTTCATTTTATATACTTAATTATTTTTGTTTTGAAAGAGAATATCACAATGCATACCATGACAGAGCCCTTCTCTTTAAATTTTTACTTTTTAAGAAGACAAAAAAGGAATGAAAAGTTCAATGTGACGAAACAATCTCAAAAACTAACATCCTAACTCTAAAAGTGTTCTTTTATGAAATAGTAACAAAGTTTAATTTAAACAAAGGTCTGTATTTTTGCAATATTCCATTATTGTTCACTTAATATCCTAGTAATACAAATTCGATGAGAGCTGTTTGTTATCATATATGATGCTTGTTTCAAATAAAAAAAATGACCAGTGAATATTTTTTAGATAATTTTTTTTGCAAAAACAAACCACAAAACTGCAGTTTTCATTGTTAGCAAGGTAAGGTGAATAGGTATAAAACTGTGTATTCCAGATTTGTTAACCTTGATATGTTCAGATTTTCAATTCACTATTATAAAAACAAATCTACTACATAAAGGCATTTATAATAAATTTCCAATGATCAAATGTATATTCAAGTCCATCAATCGAAGATCTACAAAATTGTACAATGGTCAAATGTTTACAATTAATCATTAAAAAGTCAAATGTATTGTACTTGAAAGTCTAAGCCGATTTTTCTAGCAATTTTCATGAAAAACAAAACATTATCTTTTGATACTTTTTTTTAAAGGAAATTAATTAAAAAAAGATTTAAGAAAACATACTAGACAAATCTCTGATATATGATTTGATGAATCTTTATCTTTTATTTCTAAAAATGAAAACTGCAGCTTTTTATTTTCTTTACATCAAAAATTACTCTCAAACAAAAAAACAATACTTTGCTTGCTTTTTGTTTTTATTTCAAAGATGCATTAATATTATCATCATATATGGTAGAAAATAGTTCTTATCGAAATTCTATTACTAGAATATATATTTGTTGAAGTATGATGAAATATTTTAGTCAAATATAGAACATTGTTTTTACTATCAATGCATACAGATAGAAAGTTTTCTCAAGTATTCTATACGATATTAAAGAGTTACTATCATAATTTTGAATCGTCCTCAATATTTAATGTTGTCATTGGTGCAATTTTTTTCGCTTAGTATAAGACAATGCCTTATAATAAAAAAAACAATAACAACACTTACGTTGTTTATCACGTTTTGGTGTTCAATGACGTGGATATAAATGTTTTTGTGTTACTTTACATTTGGATTATGTTCGACGTAGATTAAAATAATTGAACATGTTGTGAAAGTTGAAAGTACAAAAAACTACTAATAAATGAACAAACGTTTAATCTATTGATTATAACAACTATCAAGCTAAAGAAAAACATTAATGACAATAAGTTTATCTCAATGCTGATATTTTTTGACAAAATAACCTTATAACTAGACCTTATTCTAGCTGAAGAAATGAAAATACAATAAAAATGATTTGTAATGTTCAAATGAATCATCTATATCATGTCAAATATTATAGTATAGGAGAAAACGATTCAATTAGAATTAGGATTATGGTTCTTATTCAAAGCTAACTGTTTTTTTGATAAAGAAGAACTATTCGAAAAGGATTAAGAACAGTTTGGGAGTTAAAACTATTGTTTAAAAAGTTGATAGTTGACAAAATGGGAAAAAGTTAAAATGGTTATAATTTGTATTATAACTATCAGCCATTTTGACTCGGTTAACTTTTTGAATTTTTCAATCGATTTAATTGGTATGTCTGATAAAATAAATTAAAATATATGTATATCATTGTTCTATACTTGAAATGTTAGTATTCATAGATTATTTTTCGAGAGTTGTTTTTTTTCATGTATTCGTTTGCAAATTGCGTTTTCTCGTAGTTATTCGTCGCCTGTGAATGAAAAAATGCATTCTTTACTGTACAACATTAAAATAAACTCTTTTCATTTGATAAGCACAACATGGAGCAGTAAGTAAATCTGAAAGTTTTAAATTACTTTAAATTGATTTTGATGCATTTGCTTGTTCATAATAAATCAAATTTTGTTGATATGAATGATCAGAAAATATTTTATCACATTCATATGGTGAATCTATAAATAATTTAAACAAAAAAAACATTAATAAAAACTACAATTTTTTATGATTTACTTTTTGTTAATAATTGATATGTTTCTTCTAGCAATCTTTCTTTTCCATGTCCAGTTGCATCAATAAGTTTCATTGAAATAGGACGATTTTTCCCCCTATAAACTGTTTATTAAGTCCCAGATAAAGGAAATGAGCATTCATCGAATGATCATCAATAAAAGCAAACATATTTGCTTCTTTGGAAAAATAGACGTGCAAAATTTTTCGATAAGCATAGATATTTTTTAGATCCCTTCAGAGAAAAATTAAAAAATGACAGTTTTTCTTAGTTAAATAAAAACTAAATTGTTTCTTTTTTTCTAGAGCTGATTTGCAGTAAGTTTTCCTAGGGTAATTAACATGTTCTGCAACAAATCTGACTTACTGATTTATTTTGCTACTTATTTTTAATGTATTTGGTTGATATATGGCTAATTTTTTTTTTTATTAATGATAATAAAATCTTTTATATTAATACTAATTATCGCTTTCTCAATCTTTGAGTAGGGCAACAATGGATTATGTTTTTCAATTTTTTGATATTCGAACTATGACTTAGAAAGGAAATTGAAATATATTATTATATAAAAATTTACTTGCAATATATAGAATTCGACGACACCAACAAGATGATTTCTCTATGAGAGTTTCTTTAATAAACTATTGAACAATTTTTTTCTATAAAAAATGTTTTATTTTTATTCACCATTTTCATATAATACCAGGACACGACGTAGGATATCGTAGATCAGAATTCAACTGGATGCCGTTGTTGTTCTCTGTAGCACTATATCCAAATTTCATTTTGATGAAATCAGGTAGAACTCGATGAGCTCTAAAACATGCACTAGTTCATTTTTCGTAATAGTGAAGTTAATGATTGAGAAAACTACAAAATTCATCATTGCAAAAAATCCTTTTTAATGTACCACATATATAACTAACATGTCAAAGAGAAGAAAAAAAAAATTTTTTTTAATTTCTTTTTCAGGTGTAGCTAGGTCTAAATTTTATGAACAGTAATAAAACTTGATGAGAGATATACGAAAGTTGTGCACAAAATAATAATATATAGTTTTCAGTTCAAAAGATGATTGCAAAAGAATACAACAGAAGCAATAAAAACTTTTGTTTTTGTGTTCAAAATTAGATGTATATATGCAGCTGTGTTCATCATATTTTTAATGATCTTCAAAATAGCAGTAAGGGAGATCATTGGTTTGACAATATTGAATGTATGAATAATCATCTAATATAATTGAAGCCGACCTTCTCTGATAGAATTGAATCCGATTGTAGAACACATGTTTGAGTATTATTGAGAAAAGATTACTATAAGATCAAAAACTTTTTATCTTTCGTTTTGAACATTTCTACGGTCAAAATAAGCGTATTTTAATTAGATTAAACTATTAAAAGACTTACATGTCTACTAATTACAATTTGTTTTTAATCAGACAACAAAATTACACGCCTACTGACAACCCATCTCAACACTGTTCTTATTAAGCTTAATTTGAATTACGTTCGATGTATTCCCTCTTGTATTCTTTTGTTATCATCTTTCGAAGTTAAAACTATATATTGTTATTTCGTGAGCAACTTTCGGTGCGCATCTTTCGGGATCCCATCAGATGGATATCAATCAGCACGACGAGAAGCATCTCTTTCACCTGGTGGAGATAAAAAGATTCTTGATGATGTTATCTTTCCATTTCTTCGTACTCAATGTGCTAAATCGGATAAGTATGGTGAATGTGTAACAAATGTAGGTCCTGATGGTGCTGGCTATAATGTTAAAAATGGTTCATAGTGGTATTGAACAAGGTGTTCTTAGTATTATATGTGAATAATGGAGTATTCTTCAACAATTAGTCGGTTTTTCTGAAGATGATATTGGTCATATATTTACTGATTGGACAAAAAATAATGAATTATATAATAATTTTCTTTTATCAATTGGTGGTGATATATGTACGCGGCATTATCATAATGGTGATCGATCATCAGGACATGTTCTTGATGATGTTGAAGATAAAGTTGTACAAGATGCTGATGATACTGAAGATACTGATGTATGGACAGTTCAAGAAGCAGCAAAAGCTCATGTTAGTGTATTAACAGTTACTGCAGCACATTTATTACGTATAGCATCTTCAAATCGTTTGGATCGCGTCAAATTTGCTAAATTATCAAAACCAAGATTAGCAGATGAGTTAAAAGGAAAAACACATGAATTTATTGAAGATCTTCGAGGTAATGTTTATGTTGCATTCTTAGCTTCTTTTATTCAAGGTTGTAATTTAATTGTTGAAACTTCTCATGGCAAAAAATGGCATATTAAAATGAGTGAAGTTATACGTGTATGGCGTGCGGGTTCAATTGTTCAAAGTGATTATATTTCAGATCTTCTTCAACCATTATTTTTAAATGATGAAAAATCTGATGATGAACCTTTAATTAATATTCTTTTATTAAAACTAGTAGCCGTAGAGATAGAAAAAATATTATTTTAAACTTAAACGTATTGTTTTACTACGTACTGAATTTGAATCTCATGTACCAGCATTAAGTGCTAGTTTAGAATATTTTAAATATGTTAGTAGTACTGATTTATCAACAGCATTTATGGAAGCTGAATTAGATTATTTTAGTGCACATGCATATGATCTTAAAAGTAAACATGCAATGGATGTTAAAAAAAGGGTCACATCATTATGAATGGAAAGAACTGTAAAAATTGACCGATTTTTGATAGAAAGCTCTTTTTCTTTTTGATTTCGTCGTTTGTAAACAAAAATATGATTATTTTTGGTTTTTCATATGTGAATAAAAAACATAGTATTAATCAACTTTGATGAAGATATACGAAGAACTCTAAGATCATACAAAAGGTCTCATAATTATTTCGATAGTATCCATTTCATCAAAATCACCTATTAATCAGTAATTTTTCAGATATTATAATAAATCGGCGACAGAGATACTGGCGAGTGCATCCGTTTTCATGCAACCTGCCTGATCCGTGACCCGACCCATAATCCGCGAGTTCAACCCATTTGTAAATGTTGTATTTCATTGTTTTCATCTTTCATTTTTACCTTCTACTTAGGTTAATTTTCACTAGTTACTCTATTTCTTTGCTCCTTTAAATTTGATTTTTTTTGTCATATATATTTCTCGTTAATTTAAGTCATTTTAATCAAATTTATTGCTTCGTACGCCAGTTCTCAATTGCAATAATATATCATGTGAGTGTAAGACTCGAGTTTACCCATATCTATCCTTATTAATGTACATTGTAGAGCTTATAAATGACACTTACTAAGTTCCATTTTGTCTTTTTCTTACGCATTACACTATATTGTTTACATTTAATCAATATTTTTCTTTTGAACTTTCAAAATCATTTTAATCTGATATTTCAACTAGGATAAGAATTGCACATCGTTTTTTTATAGCATCTCGATTGATATGTTTTAATCGATTTGGATACAAATGGTCCTTATCAGAGTGAATTATTCTGGGAACATAATCCTATTTTTGTATCATTTATTATTAATGATATCATCTACCATATGAACATGAATCAAATATTTTAATAGAGGCTAAAGCTTCTCATGATGGACTGATAATAAAAATAACACTTCAGCTATGTCCATGAATATTTGCAATGATAATAAAAAAAAGTTGATCATTGGTTGTTTCTTTTTAGATTAAAAGTATTTTTACATCAAAATTAATAAACAAAAAAAGATTAGTGTTCTTTCGTATGTTTTTATTAATCTTATTATGTTCAGCTAAATGATCCTCTTAATGATTAGAATTTTCACAATGATTTTCTTTGTGGTATTATTGAAGGTAGATGAAACATTTTTATCTAGAATTCTTTTAATACATTTTCTAAAAAATATTCAAATATATGAAATAGAATCAAATCATTTCAATAATGAAAAGATATCTCCTTCATTTAGAGCAGAGATGAACACAGTTTGATTTTTCTCAAAATTTAAACCGAATTGAAACCAAGATTTCTACAATCGAACCGAATCGAAACCGAGAGTAAATGGAAGAACACTGAATCGAACTGTGCCCATTTCTGATTTAGACATCAACGAAACCAGCAGTTTTTGATCCCCGTCTCGATTAGACAAAACTTTAGACCTGATTGAGGTTCCGATTTCGAGATTCAGACGCGTAGTCAGGAATTTTCAAAGAACGAAAACCAAGCATGGTAAAAAAAAAGAATTTTCGTTTCGAGAAAATGTAGCTCCCCGTACTCCTCTTCAGGAAATTTTTCTTCGAAGGAGGAGGACCGATCCTCCTTTCCATTCTCTTGGCTACGCCACTGTCGAGACCGGGATCATGATACTCACCTCTACCTTCATTACATATAGAATGTTATAGTAGTCTTCATATGTCAATGTTTTTTTTTCAAAAAAACAATTCTTATTTCAATAAATATAATATTGCAGAGAAGCAGATTAGATGAGAATAAACAGTAATGATATATTATTGAAAAGAATATTTTATTAAGAAAAAAATTTCGAGATTTTAATAAAAATGTTAAGTGAAAAGGAGATCAGTTATTTTTTTTAGAGAAAACTTTGTTTGACAAATATCCTTTAATCATTTATTTATTCTTAATGACTTAAGGCTATCTCCCTCTTGTTTTTGAGCATTCCTAATTTTCGAAGAGAATAGAAATACCTAAAATAAGGAGATGTGTGTTTGAGAAAAAAAATTTAAACAAGGTTTTCGGGGTTTTTGACGGCGGAAATCATAGTTTTCCATAGGACCACATTGGACCTAGTTATGACTCTCCTCTTATTTTGTTCGATGGAGCTGGAAACTATTTTATAGATTCATTAGACAATATTTCAGAGGTTTTATTAAACTTTTCAAAAATCTCGCTTTTAGTATTTTTTTTTTATGAGAGAAATACGTAAAGGGTTCGGATCTAAAGCAGGGATGTTGTCGTTCAGGATCCTATAAATCCGAATAAGAAGGTCAAAAATAGAAATAGCCAATTTAACCTATGGAGGACACTTTTAAGTATCTATAGTAAAAATTTCAGCCCGATCGGACAAAGTTCGAGAGTGATTGTAAGCAGACCCTATTGAGAAAACTCGTATTTTGAGTTACGCTAAATAAAAGAAAAAAAATCGCTGCAGTTTCTATTAAAAAATAAAATTTTTAAATTCCATAACTCTGTAATGCTAAACTATTTAGGACCGAATGGCATCTCTAATCGCTCATAATGCATAGGACTATCATACCATATGTCCAAATTGAAAGCGTTTTTTTTTTTATCAAAAAAGAAGGATACCCTTAAAGTGATATAAAAATATAGTAGAATATTTTATTTATGATCTTTTCTATCCAGACAAATGGTGTACGACTGAACTACTCGAAAATCTTGTAGGAAGTTGGAAGCAGGTGTTGCACGTAACTGGCCAATGTCCGTCATTGGATACAATCATTGTATTTCTACTTCCAAGTTCCTACCAATTTTCTGTCAGAAATTAACGGAATCAGGCGCTGAAGACATTCACTTGAGTACTTATTTAGATTTTCTTAGAAGAGACTTTAAAATATCGATTGTTTAATTTTTTTATTGAATTAAAATTTTCTAATAAAACTTTGAAACTGACTGATCTTTCCCGAAATTGGTTTATGAGTGCAAATTCGATATTAAAAGTAGGTATCAATTGAATAAATAAAATAATTTATTGTAGGTTACTATGGTCGTTCATGGTCATTTAATCAACGAAAAATTCTTTTTGAATAGTTCGTATATTTATCGTTTGTTTTTCATCTTAATTCTAATTTAATATAATAAATTTAGTTGCTTAAGATTTGGTTTGAACACATGAATATGTATCAAAAGATAATGCTAAACATCGATCACGTTGGCGTGATCTTTATTCAAATGAAGAATCATCTGAATTAACTCAATTAATTCATATATCTAAACGATATGAAATCAAATTTGTATATGCTTTATCATCCGGTCTTCATATAACATATTCATCAGAAAAAGATTTAACAGCACTTAAACGAAAATTTGATCAAGTATTTGTCACAGGCAAACTTGAATTTTAGACAAAATTAGTTTTTTTAGGCACTTCTGTTAATTTCAATTTTGCCTAGGCAGAATTCGTTAGCTTTTTATATCTCAATTTTATATTATTTAATAACCAAAATTTTTGATTTTTATAATTAAAATTCGTTTGACGCTAAATAGCTTTCAATATCTTGTTTTTGTAATATCAACAACGCCATTACAAGAAGTAAGCTTTTCTCACCATAATATTAATGATTTTGCACTTGAAAAAGTTTCTGAACTCGCTAAAAAACATATTGATGCATTAAATCCTAAATTTCGTAATAAAACTCTTGTCACTCGTGATCAAAGCAAAAAAATTATCAGTGTAGTTCAGAGCAAGTTATCTACTGAAAAGGTTTCAGGATATTTTTTCTGCTGGTGTAAACAAACATTCACGCTTTGTCTCATCGGTAGTCATTAACTTTTATGTGACTTTAAAGAAGTGAAACCTGTTCTCTTATATCAGAATATGTACGATATCTGTCAGACAAGCCGTCATCAGACTGCTCATGATGGTCGAGAAAAATGTCTCGAATATATTGCAACAAATTACAGCTGGACAAATTGCTCATCATTAGAAATATTTATCGCACAATGCTCACTATGTGAAACTCGAAAAACAGTTTATCTGTATTATATCAACATTATTAATTGTTTTCAAACCCCCCAAACCCTTGCTCGAGTCGGTCACAACACATGCTAATAATGTCTATGAAATTTAAAATAATGTTTACAAAAAAAAGGGAAACTTCGAAAATGTATTCAAATACTCTAAACAGCTTTTTATTGAATCTATCGATTAGTAAGAGGCGAACTGCCGTTGACAAATATCTTGATAATATATAATGCCAGAAAACTTTTAGATAATCTTTTTTATATATAAAAACAGATAAAACAGGTTTTGAACCAGGCTGAGGTCATTTTCTTAATCAATTATTCTACCATAATAATTAATTAATTGATCAATAAAAACAAAATGATTTAAAACAGAAAAACTTAGAAGAAAATAGTCCAAACACATTATAGACGCTGCCAATAAAAAGCTTCTTAATCATTCAAGTTCAATCAACCATTCACTGTTCCTCTGATGAAAAATACAAACAAATTTATTCAACTAAAAACAGGCTACGTAATAAAACTTCACCAAAAATCTGAAATTGATACGTTCCCATCATCGAAGATAATACGAACTTTTTGTAAATGAAAAAAATTCGATGAAAGAAAAATCTAACCAATTGTCAATGTCCCCATGTCCCCATCCTTGAAAAAAAATAGATAATTTTTGCAAAAGCAAAAAAAAATTAGATGAAAAAAATCTAACCAATCATCAATGTCCCCATGTCCCCATCATTGAAGAAAATAGATATTTTTTGCAAATGAAATTAAATTAGATAAAAAAAATCTAACCAATCGTCAATGTTACCATGTCCCCATTATCAAAACTAGATTGCAAACTCACCTACCACATCTTTACTCAAGCAAACGCAAAACGATTTTTTCGATGTAATACTATACTAATTCAAAACAAAATAATGAAGAATATTGATGCTTATACACTAATCTTTTGTTTAATCTAAATTATGCACAGAGCTAATTTTGACTAGGCAAAATTATATCCAATATTTTCAAAAGGCAAATTTTTATCATTGGTTCAATCTTGCCTAAATACCAAATTTGCCTGACACATAAACATAGATTTAGTGGAGGAAAATATTCAATTGAAGAAGATCGAGCTAAAGGTGGTAATTGTGATGTTGATGTTTCTTATCAATATCTTAGATTTTTTATGGATGATGATAAAAGACTTGAACAGATTCGACAAGTAAGCGATCGTTTTTTTACTTATATCAATTGATATTCTTTTCTCTTTTTATTTAAAGGATTATTCATCTGGAAAATTATTAACTGGTGAATTAAAAAAGATTTTAATTGAAGTTTTACAAGATTTAGTTGTTAAACATCAAGAACGAAGAAAAGAAATAACTTTAGATGTTGTACGACATTATATGACACCAAGATAAATTATTTTTCGTTATTAAAACGTTCTTTTCGTTGTTTTAAGAAAAAAGAAAAATAAAGTTTTAAATCATTTATTCAAAAAAAAAAAGAAAAAGATGTTTGAAAAAAATCATTTGCACAAGTAAATCTTTCGAAAACTAAACAAGAGCGAAGATAAAAAATATTAATTTATTTTAAAGATTAATACCAGCTTTTCTAAAAGCTTGAATAAATATTTGTGAATCTTTAGCTCCACTAAATTCAATATTATCATTAATACGAAAATGTGGTACACCAGATATTCCTTCTTGTTGACTTTGATTTATTTCATATTGAACTTCTTTTTTTATATTGATCAGATTGAAGAAATTCTTTTGTTTCATCTGAATTAAATCCAACTTGTTCAGCTGCTTTTATTAAAACTTGATGATCAGATAAATCTTGTTCTTGTTCAAAATAATTACGAAATAAAATATTAATTAAATCATTTTGTTTTTTTTCTCCATTATCTTGTTGTTTAGCATAATAAAGAAGACAATGTGAATCAAATGTTGATCCGATTTTATCTCGAAATGAAAAATTAATACCTTCTTGTTTATCTGTTTCTATTATTTGTGGTAACATTTGTTTAAGACGTGTTTCACCGAATTTTTGTTTCTAACGATCCATTTTAACAAGTGATCCATCACATGGAAGATTATGATCTAATTCAAATGGATACCAATTGATTGATAGATTTATAGCAGATCTATCGATTTGAGAAAGAGCTTTTTCTAAACGATGTTTTCCAACATAACATCAAGCTATAAGGAAATATTTACATTCTTTTTAATATGACTCAATCAATTTCACTCACGACAAATATTATCACTAGTAATATCTATTTTAAGTTATTGTTTATTTTCATTTAGTTTTTGTGAAGTTGCCATATGATTAAATTTAATTTTTCTTATTAAATTCAATACTGAAATATTTCCAAATAATTCTTTTTTCATTAAATAAAAATAATAAATCTGTAAATATGTTAAGAAAAAGAAAACAAGCAGATATATATATATATATTTGAACAGAAAAGAAAAACGTGTTTTTTTTTATCGTTGTTATAAAAGCAAATGAATAACAATATTAGTTAAATAAAAATGCTATGTTTTATAACAATTTCAAAGCTAAACCAAGAGACCAGGCAACTTGAAATTGTTGAATTTTTTTACAAATATGAATTTCAATATCTTCTGATAAACCATAACCTTTTGTTAATAATGAATAAATATATGTTAAATTAAAACATAAAAAAGGATGTTCGTTTGATGATGTTGTTGTACCACGACAAACATTTCTCGCTGTTTGTTTTAATACTCTTATCGGTATTATTGTTATTAATGATGGATCATTTTCATTAGATAAAAGTCCAGCATCATTCGCCATATCATAAAAATATGAAAATACGTATGTTGACATTTGATCAAGACCAATAGTTGATTGAACATTTAAACCAACATAATGATCAATTGATGACATACATGAATAAAAACGTTCATCAGCATTAACATCTAAATAAAATAATTATTTAGTTTTTTTTTTTGTTTAAGACAAAAACAAAATCTCAAACCTAGATGAGATTGAACAGTTCAAGTATCTTCAAATTTAAATTTTCCAGTTATATCATTTAAAAAACATCGACTTTTTAATTGATGAGATTCAATTAATTTTTCATCATTTGTTTCATTAATAAATATTGTTTGACGTGCAATCATTAAACCATAACCTAAATATGAAGGTGAATAAAGTTTTATATCTCTACGAAACATTCGAAATTGATACATATGAGCCATTAAAATTTTCTCATCACTTTATTTTTTCTTTTCATTTCATATATCTTGTCTTTTAACTATTTTAACTGGTTTTATTTCTTTTAAACCAGCTTGTTCAACATCAATTCTAGGCATTTGTTTTTTTCTTTTTATTAGCTGGATCACGAAATGCATTTATTAATCCTGGTTCAACTGTTTGTCGAGCTTTTAATAATAAATTTAATTTTTCAGCTAAACTTGTATTTGATAATGATGGATTATATGTTATTTATGTTGAACCACCACCTAAATCGAGTGTAGCTATACGACTTCCATAAAATTGTTCGCCTGAAATAAGACAAAAAAATAATAATTCTTTCAATTCAATAAAATATATTCTATTTCGAAATCATCATGAGAAAATTATCCTACTACATCATTAATAGACAATATATGAATATCAAATTAATAAAATAAAACTTACCTTTAAGATAAACAAGAGTAAGCCATGCATCAATTCCTTCTTCAGTTTCATTCATAATGGCAATATCCTTTTTAGGTCTATAAAATCCATATTTACCAAATCTATTTGAAACACCTTCTAATAAAAGTTTTTCTTTTGTTTCATTTAATAATCTTAAACCAGCTGTAGCACGTAAAACTAATGGTGTATTTCGATGTTTAAAACGACTAACTTCTTGATCAGCTATTTTTAATAAATCATTTATTTGTTCTTCACTTTTATAAACATGATCAGCAAATGATGATAAACCAGATTTACGTTCTCGAAATATTTCATCTTTTAAAACAAATGTATCACCATTTTCATTATCAGTTGTCGCACGAAATTCATAAATATGAATACGTGTACCAATTGAACCAACATTTAATACTAATACATATGAATATGGATCAAGAAAAGCAAGTAATGGAGATAATGATAATGAAGACTATAATATAAATATTAAAATAAATAAGAGTTCGAATTAAATTAAAACGACGAGATGGAATTTTTTGACGATGAAATAATGGTATCATTTTATTCTCAGGTTTTTTTGATGATGTTTGACGAATTCGTTGTTCAGGCAACTCTGGACATTTGGAGATAAATCGATTTTTATTTGCACTCGATTCGATTGAATCGATTATCAACCAATCTAAAATCAAGTTTCTATTTTATTGCATTTTCATAATGAAAACGAAAAGGCGGCGTCATCATACGTTTTCAGATTGGACGACGACACAAATGAATTGCTTAAATGCAATCGTCACAAAGAAATTTCATTCATCTATCTGACGTTTGTTCGTTATCTATAAATATGTGACCTTCTTTCTGATTTTAATATCAGAATAAAATGTGTTTTTCTAAGGTAAATTCTTAAATGAATAAATTTTTTCTTTCAGACTTATAGACAATATTCATCATACATTGTGACCATATTGTTGTTCGTATAAAGGTTCAAATGACGAGTATTAATAAAAATAAGTATCTGAAAGTCAGAGAAGGAAAAGAAGCAAATATACCTGTAAATAACATCAAATCTTTGAATATTCATTGCTTTTCTTTTCTAGAATAATAACAATAATGAAACACCAGAAGAAAAAATCAATAAATTGGAACAGCAAGTTACCAATTTAACGGACGAAAATGTAAATTTACAAAGTTGAATCAACAAATATATCAATACCATCAAATCGATGGAAAAGCGAATCAAACAACTCGAAGCTGATCTTGCGTATGAAAAAGAAAAAAAAGCTGAAAGTGATTCATCCAACTTGGCTTCGCCTCCTTTGATGAAGCACTAATTGATAATTACAGAAGGACAAATCCAACAGGTTAAATTTTTGTTATTTTTCGTACATTAATCATATGTACATCATGTTATTCTTTCGTTTTTTTTGTTGATAACATATATGTAGATTTTGTTGTTATTATTTTTTGCGTTCAATTACGTCTATATGTAGATTTTCTTATTCATCTTTATTTGATTGTAAAAACAGATATATACCCAGGTCAAACAAGCACGGTCGTAAACGACCGTATACGGAGAAATACGACGATTTACATGGTCACGTATTACGACCGTATATCCCCGTGTCGTATACGGAGAAATACGGTGATATACGGAGAAAAATACGATCGTAAACTGAGATCATATACGGAGAAAAACGGACCGTACACGACCGTTTACAGACTCCGTAAACCTCGACCTGGGTAAGAAAGAAAAATAAATAGGAATCCTGCTATTGTTGATATACAAACGAACAATATTCTATAGTTTGATTATTTAACGTGTGGAAGTAGTTGACAAGAACACTCACACACTTAGGCTTTAAAAATGTTATTTGCTTTGCTTGCTTAACTATCATTTCAACTATTGAATATACAAATAACAATAAATCTTGTGATGTTAATGTAAGAAAAAGTAAATGTTTTCACAAGAATTTAAAAAATAGACACAGTTTCATTTTGATTGTCTGACGGATAATTTTATATAGATAAGAAAAAAATGTAAGCAAAATAATAAAGATTTGTTTTTCTACTTTTAACGATGTAAGGGTTTGTGCTGTATTTCGAGACACTCAATTGTTTTAGTATCAGATGATAAGTCTCACTGGCCAAACTGAGAAATAAAAAACTGACGTGCTCATGACACACGTTGAGAGAGAATTGACTTACAAGATATCATGTAAAGTGATATATAAATCTTGTTTTAAATGCTTGAAAAAAATATATATTTTGCTTTCAATAAAAATTCATCATTATCATCAACAAATGTAGAAATAAACATACATTTTCATTTTATTGTCAATAATTAAATATCGATGAAATACTCTTGAAATCATTTTGGTCATTATCATCACTACAATCAACATCAGCTCAATATTATTTCGTTGTTAATAATTCACATATTACTGATATTATTAAAGATGATGAAGATCGTGTAACTGGATTAAAATTACAATTACATCAATAATAATAATATAAAATTGAACTTGAGACAATAATCGCTTACTTTAAATATTTGATAAGAATACAAAGCGAGTGTCTACAGAAAATAATAACAAATAAAATGATTTTCAAACAACATACACTTTTTTGTCTTAAGATCTGTACGTGAGTCCCGTATGACCTTTTTTCATAACTACAGTTAGATCAGGATCTAGTGTAAATTAAGTATTGTAGTTGAAGAATAAGATCTTGTATATTAAAATATCTTGCAACATTATTCAACTGTTTTATCAATACTGAATTTAATTGTCCTCTATATATTCTTTTAATCAGAATTGTATCGTCAAAAAACTCTATATTGATGTGTTTTAGAAATGTACACTGCGCCTAATGATAGTTGAAAAAATTATTCTTTTATGCCATCTTTTTTTCTCATATTTGTTAGTCTATGACATTTCTTATGAAATAGTGTTTCGTTTTTTGAACACTTACATAAGAAAAACAATCTAAAGTTGAAAATAACCCAAATAAATTTAATTAATCAAGATATAACCGGACTTATGTATGATTATAGGGTATTCGTTCATATCGTAACTTATTTTCTAGTCAAATTGGCGAAAATTTGAGTTTAAAGTAAATTTAAATATTATGTTTGTCACAAAGGAATTTCGCTGTTTTCAGTTAGATCAATTTGTTATTTGCATAATTCTTAATCAATATTGATCTAGATTTCATTTATAAACTTAACAAATGAGTATGAAATTGGGTAATAAAACAAACAGTATCTCAATAAGAATGTATTTGTCAACAGTTCAATCAGTTCTCTTAACTTTTCAGCATTTGATATTACTTTTTTCAAATATTCCTAGCAATGGAGTTTAACAGCTGATATGATTGAGGCGTGGCCGTCCAGTGGACAAATAATAAAAGAAGAAAAAGCCGAGCAGCCACCCAATGATCGCACTCTAGTTTTTTTCGAGCGATGTGCCCATCTAAAACCGAGTCATAATTGCCCCTAGGGACGGCCGTCTCCACACACGCANCGAAGCTGAAATGTTGAAATTACATAATTATTTTCGTGCTCGTCATTGTGCACCACCACTTGTTATAAGTCAACAGTTAAATCAAATTGCTCAATCATATGCTGAATACTTAGCAGCGACATCAACATTTGAACATAGTGGAAATCAACTTGGAAATGAACCCTTAGGAGAAAATCTATATATGCAATGGATATCTTATGGTCGAGTAAAAGCTTCTGCAAGAGATGCAATACAAAGTTGGTATGATGAAATAGCAATGCATGATTTTGACAGACCAATATATTCATCAGAAACCGGTCATTTTACCCAAATGGTGTGGAGATCATCAAGAAAATTGGGTGTTGGAGTAGCTTACTCACCTGATGGCCGTGAAGTTTATATTGTAGCAAATTATTATCCTGGTGGAAATATTGTTAATCGAGGATATTTCGAAAGTAATGTTTTACCACCGAATTGTTAGGTGACTCGGTTTTTTTTTCTTTCTTTTTTTCAAAATAAAAACATGTATTTATAGAAAAAAAAATTTAAAATAAATATTTGAAAGTTACAAGAAGTATTAATAAAAAAAAAATGCTCAACGAAATAAATAGTTGTCTTCAACAACAAACCAAATATTAAGGTAAATTTATGTTTGATTCATCAGATGTCTTTAGAAGACATTGGAATTCAATAAGCTGCACATGCAAACCGAATTTGTTATACTATGTAGATAGAGTTCAATGCGGTTATCAAAATATTTATCAGTATGAAAGTAATAGAAGGACTCTAACTTCATAATTGAATACATAGAAGCATCTGGTATAGGAGATATATTCATGTATGTTTATTCTTTTTTTAAAAACCTTTTAAATGTTAAAACGATATGATGACAGAGTTGTTGTAGTAGTCGAACTCTCTCTCTCTCTTTTTGCAAACTTTATATCAGAGACCCAGATCATTGAAATCAATGTTTTTGATTTCACAAATTTCGAACTATTAACTTATAAGACAGCTTTCATTTTCATACGAGTTTGCATATTTCGAATAGATGTTACACGATTGAAAGTGTTATAAGTACAAATTTATGCCTCGAAAAGCATTTTGTTACGCAAAGTTACTCATGTTAATTCTACAGAAAATAAAACAATAATTGCACTCAAAGATCTGGTCATGCCATTATTTTTTAATTTTTCTTTCTTGATATTCTCGTCCACACAGTTTTTTTATTCTTACATTCCTTATTGATTTGTCAATTACGCAATTATAATAAATGACATACTCATTAAAAGGTAAATGCACTCTATATTCTCTACTAGGCATGAAACATAACATATGACACACTTTTATCGTCATTTTCATATGAATATTCTTACATAGCACGCATGTCTCTCATAAATTACGTTTAGTAGCAAATCGTTCTTCTAATATGTCAGCATTAGATTCAGAATACAACAAAGATCAAGTTTATTGAATAGATTTCACTTGTAAAATGAATACCATATTTATCGAATTATGATCACGTCATAAAATTAATTTAGAGAAAAATATCTTATTACTTTCGACAAAAAAAAATCAAATATTAATTTATGTACAAATTCTAGTGACATTATTCTTGATGAATCTATATCTTATACAATAATAACTAATTCTATTACTATAAATGATTTTGATAATAAAGAACAATTCATGATTAAAATGAAATCAATGAACGTGTGAGACATCACTCGGTTCATCTTAAACAACCAAGCTTATTAACAATTGAAAACGAAAAAGCAAGTTGAATACATTGTTCAAAAGTATTTGAAACATAAACAAAAGAAATAATTACAGAATCTCATCCTGATGTGTATCATGTTTGAAAAGAAATTACTTTGAACAATTGATTTTTTTGTCGAAAATTTTGCCTATTGAAATGCACCCAAAGAATGAAGACAAGACTGATTTGAAACAATATCTGACATTTTAAGGAAGAAAGAGTACCCCAAATTACTAATCAGCTGAGAGGGTCTGGCAATATCACGTGTCGATCTGTCCACGTAACGATCTACCTATTTCGGCAAAGTCAGAAAAATGCGAAATTCATGCTTTCATTATATAATTTTTACAGTGTCAGAAGTATTATGTGAGACGTTTTCTTAATTGTTCTTTCAGAGATATTATCAATTTATCATGTCAGGGAAACTACAGTTAACTTTCTGAAGAAATAAACATTCGATGAAAATATCCGCATTTTAGAAAACGATATTCCATCACGACAATTGTTTTTACCTGTGAGACAAAGCTATGCATATATTTTGAATTGGTTTTTTTTCGATATTTAGCTTGTCATGTCAGCTATAACTTTTCTATAGACAAGTTTTTAATCACACTTGTAGTTGAGCTAAATTTTTTAGTTCTTAATACATCACTCAAGTCGAGAGTTCATTTTTGGTTATTCCATCACGGACATATACTTCAGTCATAAAAATGTAAAAGAAAGACAAGATCTAGTGAAACTTTTATGCTGTGTAGGGCAGCACGATTTATATACGTATTCAAAAAATCAGCCCTTCTAAACAAACTTCAATCTGTTGAGATATTTAAGAGATAAAATGAAAAAAAAAAGAAGTTATTCCATCACGCTTGGACAGGTCGACTTGGTTACAAAGAGGAAGAAGTGAGCCGAAATGGCCCAAAAAGTGATCATGTGATTTCCACAAGATCCATTCTCGCTTAATTTCACATTTCGACTCAATCCAGAGTTTTATAATCTCATAAACGATGAATTCAGTTTGGGGATGTGCTTTGTGCCAACTTCGCACCACGACCTTAGTCCGTTTGCTATCTAGTTTATTTCTCGTTTTAATGTCATGATGTGTAAGGTTGAAATTGCGCTATACACTAGTGTTTCATTTAAAATCATAGAGGTAGATTATCAGTTCTAATTGAAAAATATATATTGTAATGACAACCTTCAAACTAACAGAGTGATACTTTCTTTCAATCGAACATCAGCGAAATGTTTGCAATAGCCTTTACTTTGGCCTAGTTTATGAGAAGAAAGTGAATAGTAATTGATTTTGATCGCAAAACCTATCATAATACCATTTCAAATATTGACATTAAGTTTTTCTTTCTGACTGACGAATATGCAATAAGATAACTAAGATAAAATTTATTTGCTTTAATTACTCATATTTGAATATATTTGAAAAAGAAAACCATTTCATAAGATAATTATATATCTAGTATAAAGTTAGTATGGCATATGAAACGATTTCTATTTCGTTTCATTTTTATTCTTCGTAAAGAAGAAGAGATAAGACGAGAAGAAAGTGATCTTTCAATACGGTGTACTTTTTCTATTCTTATGACATCGATGGAAGCTGCTCCTTCAGTACATCAAATCGATATTTCTGACGAAGAATCTCTTCAGTTAGTATTAAACTTTTTGGTAAGCTTTTCATTATTCATCAATAAAGTATGAGAATAGACTTATTTCTTAGGAAAAATATTTTCCACAATCGTTTCATTTATGGCAAATTTTAAAGCGAATACAAAAAAATCTAATAACAAAAAATCATTTATGGCCACATCAACTCTTCGTTAATGATCAACATCAAATCAAATGTGTACTATTTATATATTCAACTATAGGTTTCAAACCTAATTATGAATCAATTACAGCAGAAGAGAAATCAGCAAACAGAGAAGTCAATTTTTATTGTTCTAATGAAAATGATCATCTTCTCATTCCTTTGATTCTACACTATGTTCCATGGTCAGATATCAAAAACATCACCTTTTGTTCCGTGCCCCATCGATTTTCATCAATGATTGACAGTTTTACTAGTGATAATAAATTAGGCAAATGTCATATTTACTCATGCCAGCAAATGGAACTACAGAAAAAAACATTTATAGAAAAAACTAAAACAATCATATATTCCTGTTCATCCGGTAATTATTTTATTATTTAATAAGCGAAAAATAACTAACACATGTTTTCCTTTCAGATATTGTTATTCAACCTTTATCGGTATCTGATGCATCCACTGTCAATGATCTTTGGACATATAAATCGACAATATCTTTATATCACACAATGTACGAAATCGAGCATTTCTCGGCATACGGTAAATTAAAAAGAAATTCTTTTGCACATTTAAATGTATGTATTTTTCCATTCAAAGGAGCATTTTGCAATGATAACCTGATCGGTTGGTGTTTGACAAGATATGATGGATCTGTAGGAGCCGTTTTTATCAGACCAGAAGCACGTAGACTTGGCCTTGCGACTATTTTAAATATTTGTGTAGCCTCAAAAATTTTAGAAATGCAAGACAGAGCCTTTTGTTTTGTTATAAATGATAATATTGTGTCATTTCGAACGTTAGAGAAATTAGGATATCAACGAACATACGATGTAGATTTTTTAGTTTTTACATCAGAATAAATAAAAGGAAGAAATTTGAGAAATACATGAGCGCGATTGGGTATTTTAAAATAATTAGTAGAATTTTCGCACGGTTATTGATCACTAAATTGACATTAGCGTCTTAATCATCATATTTTTTTTTGTAATGTACAACTTTATTGACATGATTTTTTTAAAAATATTGAAAGCTATTGTAGTTGTGTGACTAACAGTGCCAATCATAGTAGCTTTTGAAAGAGTTAAATGACGCGATCTACAATGGTAATAAATGATTTTCGAGACAATAACTTCGATCAAGTATATACAGGTTTAAGTGGTCCGTCTGCAAACTGATTTCTATTGATAAGTAGTCAAACAAATGTATACCAACAGGACAAAACAAAAGAAAATTCTGTTACCTAAAACGACAGAACTTTTCATGTGTTTTAAATCTGTTTTTGCTTTTACAGAAAGCAAACATCAACATTTTGAATGCGTAATTCGTCGCAGATTTTTTTTTCAAATATTGATTACAATAATTCATCCCAAATGTGAATGCGTCTTTGGCATATGTGTGTCTATGGCTCTCCATGCTAGTTTGGGTGCACGTGAATGGAATGTGAGTGCTGATTATCGTCCAGATGCCAGTTTAGATGTGACAGCAAATCTCAAGATCCACGTTTACATCTACACTCTCACAGACCATGTCCTTACGATGGNAAAGATTCTTATACAGTCAAGATCTTGGACAAGATGTTGTTTTTTATTATCTTTTCCCAAGATCTTAAATAAAATAAAAAGCGATACCATCAATTTATTACATATTTCAAAAATCTAAAATTGTTTGGAAGTACGCTGCAAAACTCAGTCATATAAAGATATTACTACTTTATAAATTTCTGTTGAATAATCTTTTCTTGCATCTTTGTTCTCCATGACTTCTATTCTATTGTTCGCAAGTACCTCCACGGTCGCTAAATTTTTTAAACACGAATGAGAGTAACAACTTTATATGACTGAGTTTTGCAGCGTACTTCCAAACAATTTTAGATTTTTGAAATATGTAATAAATTGATGGTATCGCTTTTTATTTTATTTAAGATCTTGGGAAAAGATAATAAAAAACAACATCTTGTCCAAGATCTTGACTGTATAAGAATCTTTGTAAAGATCTTGGGTACAGATTTATTTGACACGATCAAGATATATAAATGCAAATTATCTTTTCAAGATCTTGATAAGATCTTGCTTACCAATCCGAAGATTTCAAGATCTTGCTTACAAGATGTTCGACTAGGGAGATGTTTCTACGTATCCTAAAAGAAATTTAAGTTGATCTTTTGCTTTCATGCTGATAAATATTTCTATGACTACGTTGAATTTTTTTCTTAATACTATAAAAAATTCCATGTATAGATACTGTTTATTCAATTTCAGCTTTTTGAAACATATATGATGAATCAAATAAATTCCTCATTATAATCGATTTGTTGTTCAAGTTTTTTGTATTCATTACACCAGTGCTCTCTTCACATGAATTTTATAATATGAGAAAGGTTAGAGCAAGCTTTTAGAAGACAACTACTTACTTTGTTAGACTAGTTTCGTGAAGAATGATCTAAAAGGAATGTTGTAGTAGAACATAAGTAAAAACTTGGATACCCGTGTGACAAACTGTATATCAACAATGTTTCATCCTAATATATGAATTAATTCCTTAGTACATTTCTGGAGAATTAAGTGAAAATTATATTTTAGTCACAAAACAATTGTGCGAGCACCCTTACCAAAAGAAAAGAAAAAATATTTCGAATTATATTTGTCATCTTCAGCTTCAATTCATTCCTTAAGGTAGTTAATGTTGTAATTTATCTTCTTCGATTTATTATCGTTTAGTTTTACTGCAATATTTTATTGAAAAAATCGAATGTTTATATCGACATTTAATAAACTTCAGCTTTAAACATTGATTATCAATTTGTACTTCTATATATAAGTGCCCTTTTTTTATTTTGAAGAAAGAAAAAAAAATGATTCGCTTAACAAGTCGGTGGTAAAACATTTGCTTCAAAAAATCCTGGATCTTCAATATTTCCAGCTGGATAATAATTTGCTACAACATAAAGTTCAGTTTGATCGGGTGAGTAAGCAAATCCAACACCCAATTTTCTTGTTGATTTCCATACCATTTGTGTAAAATGAGCAGTTTCTTGCAAAAAAGTTGGATTTTCAAAATCATGCAGTGCTATTTCATCATACCAACTTTTTGCTACTAATTTTGCAGAAGGTTTTGTTTTACCTTGATATATCCATTCCATATGCAGATTTTCTCCTACGTATTCATCACCAAGAGTATGTCCACTATGTTCGAATTTTGATGTCGCTGCTAAATATTCCGCATGTGATTGAGCAATTCGACTTAATCGTTGACTTATACTGAGTGGTCGTATACAATGACGTGCACGATAATCATTATGTAACTTCAACATATCATCTTGAAAATTTGAAGTTGTTAAACGTTGTGTACGAGCTAGAGCTTGAAACAAAAAAAAAGAACAGTTTTCTGTTTCATTCTTTTTTTCTTCTTATTAACATACGCCGTCTATATTTTCGAGTGGGTAGTACACTCATATCTAGATAAAACGTTAGTGGATATGAATATTGGTGTTGATGCTTGTGGTTATATCGTTTATCATGATGGCGACTGAATTGTTGTGTTGGACGTACCATAAATGAATAAAATCTTGGATCCCTAAACAAAGCAATGTTGATAAAAGAAAAAAAAACACGAGATCAAATGATTACATTGATATAGTATATGTTTTCAAGTAACGTTTAAATTCAGATATACAACAAAAATAATCTATGAAAATAGTATACCAGTATTTTATCGGACGTTTATATAGATATGCGACTGTCGCGTTACTTATATAGCATAATGTGTGAATGATTCGAATCATGACATCCAGGCACAATATCAAAATCATTGCGTATAGTGTCAAAAAAAAGTGTATTTTGAAAAATATTGAACCTATGCAGTAAACAAGATAAAAATATGAATAATAAGAAAACAAAAACCCTAATGTCGTGATTGAAACTCCATCAAGCAGTAACTTATTTTCTTTTGTTTAAAGTAATTATTTTAAATTTTACGAAAAAATTACAATTTAGAAAATCTTAAATTCAAACGCAATTAAGAGAATACATGTTATCATAACTTTACATTGATTTGATTCGTGTACCGATATAGTAACTTCAGTTATTTACATTGATTTTATCTGCTTATTTTTTTTGCAATTAAAAAAAAATGAGTTGATAAAATATTGGATGTCGTAGCACATACACGGCAAGTTATATTAGATAGATAATAATCTTTGAAGGATGGTAACATAGTGTAAATAGAAGAAAATAATGAATGATACAATGTCTTTTCAATAGGGAATACCGTCCGATAAGGTAGTAAATCTGCCACAGAGTATTTTTGTATTTAAAAAAGTTAAATTCGTTGTAAAAATGTTTATGATTAAAACACCATGTTGTCACAGTAAACTTTAATCTGATTTTAACTTCGAAGTAAAATATCGTATTCGGAATTAGAAAAAAGAAAGTACATTATATCATGAATATTTCACCAAAAATAATTTTTTTTTCTGAAAAAAATCGATGTAATCCCCATCAACAATGGAAATTAGATTAAAGTTTATTGTAATCATGGTCAATATCTTTTGATGAAAATAAGTCTTAGAACAGAATAGATTTTGTAAAAACTATATAGATTTAGAGAGTATCAGAAGAGATAATTTTTTATTATAAAGATTTTTAGCAGTACTTTCGTTTTGAATACAAAAATATTCTACAAAATTATCTATCACATCCATTGGATTCTATCTAATCTAAGACAGAAAATAAAGGTAAACATGACCACTATGTTATTATCGTAGGGCATGAAAAATGGCATCGATCTATTCTACTACTTTTCATACGGGGTTTATAAAAGAAAAAAATTATAAGTATCATAGTTATAAACCGAAACACTCAAGAGTGATAGACTCTGAAGACTGCTTAATCCTTAAAAAAAAAAGACTTTTTTTGCATTCAACTGGAAACAAAATAAGTAAACAGAAATGCTTTTGAGTTTCAAGCTTTATCATTCTATCTTATTGAAAATGAAATCTAGGGATGTGGCAGATTTATAACCCTGTCTGATCATGTTCTTTATCTAATAATAGAAGTGTTTGAATTGTAAATAAAAAATATTGATCAAAGTTAAGGTCTGACCGACAAATGAACAAGTTTTAAATATGAACTATTGATGAACTGCGCGGACTGATGTATTCGAATTTTGAAATATTTACAGTGCTTTTAATATATTTGTAATTCCCATTTCGAGCAAGATTTATTAATATCTTTTTGCCACGATTGAATAGAGCTTGTTGAGTTATTTAAGAAAAAAAAAGAATCTTGTTGAAATTTTAAATTTTTACTACATTATATTCACTGTAAATACCTTAAAATTCGAAAATCTCAATTCATGCACGTGATCAACTGTTTATAAATTTTCTCTAGTGAAATTTTTAATTTGACCCGAATATGTCCAATGTCCTTGAGATGTACAGTTACACGTCCTTTTACTTCAAGTTGAATCTCGATTAGACGAAAATGTCTTTTCGTTCTTTTAACAAATAAATTCGACGTAATTCTTTTAGAAGAAAATTATGTCGTGTCTTTATTTTATTCTTTATGTACATATACATATATATTTCGATGTTCGACTAAATTTTCTTTAACTATTATCATTTCGTCGAATATTTACACTGAATTCAAATACAATGACTGAAGTAAGAGATTAGTTTATTCAAATTTTGTTTTCGTTGTATATTTATTTTTTTATGCATATAAAGACTGCAATTATTACTACACAAGTACGTTCAGATTCAGATGATTTTGATATTCGACGAGAATTTTGTGGCTTTCAAGTAGAAATTTTTTTTATATTTTCCTTTTTTTCCCAAAATTTGTCTTCATATTTAATAGGATAAACGTTTAAATGATTTAAGACAATTTACGTCTTGTATTATTGATTTACAAACACATGGTACAAAAGATCCATTTGAAAAAGTCACTTGGGTAATTTCGTAAGTAACAACAATAGTTCAAAAACACAAAAAAAAGAAAACAATATAAGAATTTCTTCTTATTAATTTTAGACATTTTGATGAAACAGTTCGAGCTTTTGTTGTTAAACGTATTCAAGCATGGGCTCAAACAACACAAATAGCTGCTCATATGCATGCAGAAGATATAACATTTCATCAACGTCTGTAGTTTTATTTAATTTTTAGTTTTTTTGAATAAATAAATTTTTTCAGATATATCATCAGATTCATCATCATGTTCAATTGATGGTAAAGTACAACAACTTGGAAATTCAGTAAAATCATCTCCATCACCACCAAAAAATTCTGTTCCATTAATGTTTAATAAAACTTCTAAAACACCATTACATAATCATCATCATAGTAATGTACCAAATGCTGCTCTTGTTCCACAAACTGATATTCAATTACGATATCAATCACGTCGTCGACGAAATTCATCATCAAGTAATTCAGGAATGCGTCGACCAGGTTTTTATTTTGTTGATGATTTTTATTTTTTCAATAATATTATTATTGGATTTCATTTTTTTTTTGTTCAGCATTATTTGGTAAACCTAGTGATTATTTTTTCTCACGAAAAAATGAATATCCACAAAGTTGTCATTCACCATTGTCAACACCAATTACGAGTAAATATTTGATGAATTTATTTGTTTTAGGTTTTTTATTTTTAATTGATTTTTATTTTATTTTAACAAGAAATTAAAATTAATGAAACAATGAAATTATTGAATGAAGATGGTCTTTCATTAATTAAACAATCAAATTCAGAAATTGAAAAAGAATATTCATTTGGTAAAAATTAAGTTTAAAATCAAAAGAAATGTTTTTCTTTTTTATATTTATTTTCTTGTAGATAAAAACAAAATTCAAAACAAAGAAAATAATTCAGATAATGATAGTAAGTTATATAATGAGAAATATTCTCCAATGAAATAATATTTTTCATATATCTACATTTAAATCACATAGTAAAACTATAATAATTTTCAAAGATATTCGATTATCGTATTGAAATACCAATTGTATAAATATTTTAATATTGACACAAAAATTTATAGAGAGATTTATCGGAAAGTAAATGTAGCTATCAGAAGAATCAGAGAGCGAAAGAAAAGACTGTAAAATTTACTGAATTAAAATTTTTTCTCAACAGATTATAAATTTTTTTAAATTTGATATTATTACTTAAACAGCTCGAAAATCGATCAGAATAGCGTTTTTCTTGCTTTGTTGGTAGTAAGGATAGAGATTCCATGTCCATTTACAGTAATAAAATACTGTGAATGACCTGTAACTATATAAAAACAAATGTATTTTATTCTTTCTGATTGATTTTAGAACATGATGATACTGATTTTGAAGAAGAAGCTAAATGGGCAAATCTTCTTTCTGATACAAGTGATTTTGAGGGGTAAAATTTCTTTTTTTTTTTGCTAACACTCTTGTATTGTATTGTTAATATAAATTTATATAGTGATTGCCATCCATTAATGGCTGATATTATACTTGTTTCTCAATTACGTGATTGTCTTGTTAATTCTCATGTTTCACCAACAGATGATGTTGAATATATACAAACACTTATAACTTCACCTTTATTGATTACTAGTGATGAACAATTAAAAACATTAAATAATAAATATATTTGGTTTTATCGACTTATACTTAATTCAAAAATCATATTATCTAATGGTATACATAAATCAAGACGACAAGCACAAAAATTAGCTTATACAAAAATGGTTGAATTAATGACAAATAAACAAGGTGTTGAACCAAAAATAATTGCTAGTGGACGATGTAAAGTGGTACTTCGAAAATCTATTGTACCTAAAAATCTTAATGAAACAACAACGATGATTGATTCAATAATGAATAATACGACGGATGTTTATTAATATAGTCTTTCTTTATTCTGTATATAAATTAGTAACAAGTATTTCATTTGAATTGTCAGTTATTTTCTAATTATATTCAAAAAACAAATTTTTTTTTCTTCATTTTTGAAACTCTGTAATATGCATATCAGAATAGAATGTATTTTTCTTTGTAGGATTTTTTTTTCTCTTGGATTGCTAATTAATAAAAAAAAAAACAATCTTCAGTATATCAAAATAGCTTTTTCGAATTATTTCAAAATATTAGATAAATGAATCTGATCATTTCTCTCAATTAACTGATGTTGTAGGATATTTTTGAACTATTGCTTGAAAAATATCGAACATGCCTTTAAACAATAAGATCTTTTGAATAAATTATTTTCTACAGGTTGAAGTAGGCTGTTGATCCTTTGTCTATATATGACAGTAACAAATTCATACTTTTGAGTAGAAAGAATAATAGAATTAAAAATTATTAATGAAGTTCGATCGAATAAGTCTATATTGCAACAAGATTTGACAATATCGAACTTTCGAATTTTACAAAGATATAGTAGAATATTCAAATATTACAGGTACAACAATAAAATCAACTCGATGAATCATTTGAAAAATCAAAGTTCAATTGAATTTGTAGCTCATAGAATATGTTAATGTTGATTCTTTCACGATGTATGAAAAAATCTGA